GGAGCATGCCTCCATTAATTGTGGTCCAATCGTGTCGCCGCTTGCCTCCTTCTTGCCGCTACTTTCTGCCGTTTCCAGATTGCTCACCAATGGATGTTCTATTCTGTCATGAGTCCCCATCATTGTCATCGCCTGGAGTTGTGTAATTTTGCCTTACTCGTGCTGCAAACATCTTCTTGTTCCAATCTAAGTAACATGATTATCTACCGGTATATATTAGCCGAATATTATTCTTAGCACAAAAATCACATCTGGTTTTTTCTACGAACCCAGACTTTTGGTCTGTATGAATTGCATTTGGAAATGGCGTGTAAGGCAATATAGTTTTCGAGAACTTCTTTAATCAAACATGTATTTAAATTGACGGGAATTGTGAAAATCTATCTACGGAGGTTAGCAAACACATATTCGCACCCCATACCGTCGGTAGTGGTTCAAGAAAATCCAATCGCGATTCTTGATTAGGTTGTAACATGCTCAACTTTGTAACATCCTTTCCAAAGTAACTGGTTTCAAATTCTACGAACGTATTATCTGGATCCATTACTTTAGGAGTCATCCCCACGAGATGCCTAGCTAGATAATCCATTAATCCCTTATCTTTCCACTGTATGTGTTCAAGTTTATAGTGAATCGGCAATAATCGATTAACCCACCGCACTAGACGTGTTAATATTGACAGGCAGGACAACTAATTTTTATGATCTGCAATAAACTTTAACGGGGCTCCAATTAAACAGTCCTGGTAAGGAGTCATCGCCCAAACTACAGCCAACAATTCTACCTCAAAAAAGCTTTATTTTAGTTCAGCTTTGTTCAAGAATCTAGATGCATTTGAAATATGTTTCCAACCATCAATTTGCAATTTTCTGTTTTGCGGGATTGCATTTCACTCTAGTTTGCTTAGAAAAACCAAACTGCTCGAATGTTTTTCATCAGATGTTAAAATGGTTTTATTGTAGCAGCTAAATTAGAGATAAATCGAATAAATTGTTTAATCGACCCAAGAGATCAATTTTCGGTAATTTTTTCATGGTGTTTCATCCTGAAAATGGACTAAAACTTTCTTTCGACTGGTACGGTGCCCTTATTCGAAAATCTGAATCTAAGCCAAAGGCAAAGAGTTTACATTTGCTCCACTTCGCAGCAGCATTATTTTCGTTCAGTACCGTCAAAAACTGTTAAATTGCGAGTATGCGTATTTTAAATCTGTGTTGCAAACCAGATAAGATTGGTAGTATTATTGCTGACAACCAACGCCACGTTATCGAATAATCAAATCAAATTGGGCATTTGGTATTGATTTCAAAAAATCTGTTCGTCTGTCAATTTCGAATTGTTCGCATATTTAATCGACCTGTCGCTATTCGAAGTTTAAACCGTGAGCAAATAAAACAGTCTTTAGTACATTTCCCTTATTTGATGATATGTTCATCATTCAACAGACCCTCAATTGTTTCACCAACTTTTGGCAACACAAGCTTATGTTTTACATGTATCGGTCGTAGCGAGTCATGAAAATGCTTAAAATTTCACAATTTTTAAGTAATGGATTTCTTTCAAACAACTCTTTGGAGCGTCTCAGAATACATTTGATGCACTTTTGTTGGTTTGGTGGAAACTGAGTTTTTGTTTCTTTTTCTTCCAACAAATTCATTCATTGATCCGACACTTGTCTTTGACGCACTTCAATTTCTAACAATGGAAAAACTTTATTCCCGATAAAATCTGTTTGAACAGCCGCGGTAATGAACAATTCCGCGGCGTTTGCAACTCATCCCTCAACAATTCAATCAAGGATATTTAGAACATCGGTTGTTGGACTGCCGAAAATTGATCCTAAATTTTCAGTTAGTGCGGGTTGTTCAGAGATATAAACAATACCGGGCTAGCACAGTCGATCTGAAATTCTGTCTGCTTCCTTTTTTCCGATTTTTATACCGTGTAGCTTCCAATTTTCATTACTTGCCATATTGCACACTTTTCTGATTGCAAAAATCCGAAAACGCCATCGGCTCTCTCCTCCTCAAATTTAATAATCGCAATTGTCTTGTACTGATTGAGCTCATATGAAATAACAATTTAATGTACTGCCGTCTTTTTGCACTATTTCGCAAAATGTTCTCTTTCACTGCAATTGCTGCAAATTTTTTTTTTCGTCGGGCAATTTTATTCAGATTCGGTTTCAATCAGTTAACACAATAATGACAATTATCCGTTCTCTGCCTTTTGACTTCAATCACTGGTTCTCTTTGATGTATCCTTTGTGAACTGCCCGCGACATTCTGGAGCTCTGAGATAAATATGTTACTTCCAATTTCAGATAGACCCCTACTCGTCAGCTTATACATCAAATATCGTCTTTCTGAATCGCATCTACGGGATTTAATGTCTCCATGCATAGCTGTTTTCCAATTTCCTAATTTTTCATTTTGAGTGTGAAGATATCACGACCATTAACTCCTACTTCAAGCCAAAATCGCAGCTTCGAGTCAAGTTACTCCGGGAACCAAGCTGTTCCATTCCCTCATTGTCCCGTTTTTTCCACCCACATAGTATGAATCTGCGGTATGAAATGTTTGGCTCTCGTTGAAATGCGTCGGTCGCAATTTCTATAACTCCGCTATTTTATTATCAACAATTTTTGTGTTGGAAACTTTTTGGAAGAACTCAATTGGACCTGATTTTCCAGTGATAAGAATATCTTTGACTTTAGTCTCTTATCAGCTTCATTTCTGATGCTTTCTTTGAACAACCTTTTTTCTTCGTCTGTAAGACTAGTTTCTTCCTCACTCCACGCTCTGATTATTGCGACCTTCCCTCTCTGTTCTTGCCGTCGCATCTCCAGTAAGAGCCAGTTTTTCAAAATCAGGTACATCAATTCCGGTTGTGAAATTTCCTCCAAGGGATCTTTGATATCTTTTCTTTAACTTACTACTAATTGAAACTTCTGCGTCCAATCTTTCCAGGTTACCGTTTTTTTGTGAGGGACCATGACAAAACACATCCAACCCAGTAGGTCAATCCTTCTGAGTGCGCCATGTAGAAGTATCCTCAATGAGTAAGATATAGAAAAAACATCAGAAAATCAAATTTATTTCTAATCGGTCGTAGTAGCCACTGGCGATAAGTTACTACAACGCCTTAAAAGAATACGTAAAAATCCTGCAAATACGTTACATAACAGTCATCGCAGTCCTCAATACAGACAACAATTCATAGCAAGTGATAGTATTTTGCATAAAGGCATACAACTTTGATCGGGATTCATTGTTTATAAATTCCTTGAAACATTCCGCAATTAATCTCACACAACCAGCTAAAGCATGACCCATTTGGTTGTCGTGATTTGCTAAAGCAAATTTTTAAACCTAATTTTCTATTTCTACTAAACATGTTTTGCAACAAGTTGCTGCTTTTTCGTTTTTCAAATGCTAAATTAGTGTCGCCTCACACTAAATTAACTCACATTGAATCTTTTTTTTTGCGAGTGTTTCTTCTTTTCTTCAAAATTTTCATGAGCATAGTTTCAATCTGGTACAGAAACGTTCTAGGTTTAAATGAAAAAATCTAGGTTTCAAGTGAAGACGCTGATATTTGCAAATTACATCTGTTATTACTTCTGTGCGCGAAGATGAATGTTTTTTTTAATCAAGATTTTTGATCGGACATTGAAAATGGGGAGGATTTTGTATTCGAGTGTGGGTTTTGTTTTTTTTTCTTTTTTTTTCTCACGCAAAATCGTGTACCACAACTAACCATCGGAGTGTTTTTTATGATATAAAATATTTTGAACGATTTGAAAATTTTGTCGAAAACCTGTCCCAGTGACGAGAAAAACTGGTTCGAAATTTTCAAGCGATTAGCGCAATCGAGTATCGTTCGTTATATGAAAATTGGATTTTTATTCTCGCAAATTTGGATTTTACCAAAATGAAAATTAGTTTTGAAAGCTTGCTTTAGCGTTTTACTGGCAAATGATTATTTTTATATCAAAAAATTTATTGTACAAAACAAATTGATTTTTTTCTTCACATTTTTTGTTTTTAATTTTTGAAACTAATTGTTGTGTATTATGCCTGATTTTTTTTTGTATATGCATTTGTTTAGTTCGTTCATCGCACCTGCCCAAAAAAAAGATCTTAAATTGAAGAAAAAAAGAAAACAATTTTCTGTAACTTTTATTGAATATGGTCGGAAGATTCTGTGCTTCTGGGCTATCCTTAGTTGTCTTTGTTTTTTTGTAAATTTTTCCAGGTTATAACCAAAAAATTTCAAACAATTTCAAGAGCATTGATTTTTTTCTGTTTGTACTTGATACGAGCTTTCCTACTAAAGTTTGGTTGTCCGAAATACACTTATTTTTATCAAACTTCTTTATTGATGCATCAAAAACAAAAATTGAATGGGATTAGAAGTTTATAAAATGTATAGATTATAATCAAGACTATTAGGTCAAAGTCGTATTAACTGACGCACTTCCTATGTTTTATCTCTGCAAACAATTATTTCCCGTCCCACTCCCAAAACAGGAAATTGAATACAGATTTGAGTTAAAATGATGGGTGAATTTATCAGATTTTTTTCAGAGCAAAAAGCTGTTTAAAACCGAAGATGTCTTTGTTCGTAGAGTTCCAATGAATGAAAGAGATTAGCTTGACGTTTTTACACTCTTGGTGACAGTTTAAGCTGTTTATTTCACCAAAAAAAAGAATGAATAGAAGATTTAGCGAGTTGGGATATTTTCCATTAATATGAATAAAGTAAACATCAAGCAGGTTGCGTGGTATTCATGTAGAGGAGGTGATGGGACGATTTCGTATACAGAGCGGCAATTTTTATTACTTTCTTCAGACAAAAGAAATAAATGTTTCTGTATTTTATGCAGATCAAAGTTACCTGCGCTGTATTTATGGACTTCATTGACTTTGATTTGATGGTTATCAGTGAAAAAATTCCGCCTTGCATTTTATTAAAATTTTTCCGGACATGCTGTTTAGGACACCATGGAGAATTACGGACAGGACGCTGCAAATAAATTGGCGACGTTTTGGAGAGGAATTTCTACGGCTAAGAGCTCATTTCTGCAAACAACAAATAATAACGGCGCGAACAGTAACGTGAACGACCTGTCATCAAGCCCAGGTAACGCTAGAGGGGGAGGAGGGGTGAACCAGCCGCCTTCATCAAGCAATTCATCCCGCTCCAACAGTTTTCTCGCTCCAAACCAAGACAGTGCATCTTTTCAAAGCTCGACTCAAAGCAACGTTAATAATATACGACCTTCATACACTTCTGTTAGCAATACCAACCCCAACTACAACTCCACCGGCAACTCGTCGTCTTACCATCAGCCTACTGAAGATTCCTCACTAAACAGACCTAACAACTTATCATCGAGTACTAACCAAAATGTTAATGACTCATCCTCAACATCGCCATCTTTACTGAGCAGAAGACTTCAGCAAGCTGTTCACGCCAACAGCTCTTCTACAACCATGAACTCCAGGCTAGATTCAGCTTTTGCTAAATTTGTTCAGCAGGCTAAAAATGCGTCAAGTTCATCGCCAACAGTGCCCCCCGTGACAGAGGATAAAACAGGTCCTAGCCGCGGGGCTAACCACCCGTCACTATCACCATCATCATCAGTATCTGTGAACCCAACTGCAAATCTAATCAGGAGAGGAGAGGATTATGGCGCCTGTTCTATTGCAGCTAATACAAATAGCAATCAGGCATCAGCATCAGGCAGCAATAACTTGGCCTGTTATAATCCTGGAAGCAGTAATGTGATGGTGTCTCCTTCTGATTTCAATGGCGACAATCCTCATCATCATAAATCATCTCAGCCCCAAGACCCAACTAGAGGTTGCGTGTCAAAAATATCGACAATAAGTATCAACATTTGTTGCCTTTTCCCATTTTTCACTCTTTATCTCCAGCTTTTCCCTTCTGCCCCGACTTAAGCGGATTTGATATGAGGTGCAAACGGCGACCTTTTAACTATCTTTTAAGGTGCATAGCCTTATCCATAAATCCACAAGATAAATCAGCTTTTAGACGGTTGCAAATCAACAAAAGGCGCATTCAAGTTTATTCAAACAGAATTATTATCTGACAAAAGAGAAAAAGACTGTTATTTTCTACCAGTAGTTACCTGCCAACTATCAACGGTATGATGATTGAATATGCACCTGATACACCCTATAATAATTGAGCACCTCGTAGTTTTTCGCACTCTCTTTGAGCAAAAATAAATATTAATTAATTAATTGGTTGTCAATTTTCAATGTCCGATTTGCGCTCAAATTTAGGCTAATTTAGAAGATGTAAATTGTTTTTTTCCGAAACTTTTAAGTTAAGATTTGGATTACAATTGAATGGCAGTAAGATTAATTCAGAAACTGCTAATTTTTCATTTGGTAATTGTTTTAAGTTAGAGGCGGACTTTTTAAGTGGGTATTTCAGAACAAGCGGACCTGACAGGAGACCACATGCACTCACATGAGCCTAATAGATCCCCAAGGACAGATCAGTTGAACCCAAGCCAGAGTTGTCCATCGACCCCCTTTCCGGATCAGCACACTCAGAAGCCAAACTCGGTGCTGAACGTAGCCTCCTCTCTCTTTACGCGCTCGCCCCGACTGCCTCATTTTCGAAACCTGAGATCAGAAACGATCGCAGTTGATTCGAATAATCCAGACGCCCAACCTATAACACCAATCGTAGTCCAACAAGGTCTGGACTCTATCCCCACACCAACCTCCTCAAAACGAGCTTCGGTCTCCAACTCGCCGAGCCAAGCACGACTCTCGGAAGCCTCGTTGCCTCAGTTAAACCCGTTACCCGAAGAGAACTTACCCGAGGGGTTAAGCCCACCGAATCCATCCGAAGTTGACCTAGAAGCTAGTGCTAACTCCACGACATCGCGAGGCAAAACTGCGATGATGAATGCTCGCTACTTCGCGAAACTGCTGAAGAAGCAGAATACGGAGCCGAATGGGGAGGTGGCGGGCTTCCACAAGGGGTCTATGGCCTCTCTGCCTCCTATGAACGAAGAGGGAAAAGATGGTCGATACAGTTCAAATGCAATCATTTGTGCAAGGTTAGTTTTTCATAATCAAAGTATATTTTAAATAAAACAGCTGGACAGCTTCAAAAACCCATATCCCCTCTCATAATTTTAACACCTTAACTACCCAAATCATATTGTTTTTCTAACAGGGCGTTTGTTGGTATCAAAATATAATAATTCTGAAGAAGTGAATTTTACGATCCAAACCCGGTGATATATTACGAAGGTGGTAATTTTGAGTATACCCGCAGTGACAGAAATTGATAAAAATCGACTTTATACAGAAAAATCTACAGTTTAGCCTAAGTATAAAATTGATTTATCTTCAACCATTTTGCGAACAGTAGTCGATTCTGTACAGGTAGAACCACTTTTTTTCCATCAAAAATAAATGGTCAAAAAAAGCCAAAATAATCGATTTTTCAATTGTGTAATACCTACATATTATATAACCTGTAGATAATCTGCATATAGTCAGTATATAATCTTTATACAATAAAACATGTAGATAATCTGTAGATAATCTGTAGATAATATGTAGATAATCTGTAGATAATCTGCATATAGTCAGTATATAATCTTTATACAATAAAACCTGTAGATAATCCGTAGATAATCTGTAGATAATATGTAGATAATCTGTAGATAATCTGCATATAGTCAGTATATAATCTTTATACATTAAAACTTGTAGATAATCTGTAGATAATATGTAGATAATCTGGATACAAAAAAAAAACAGTTTTAGAGTGATTGGCAATAATTATATAATTAAGATATACAGTATAAAAGTTTTGGAAAACAAAATCAATTATAATCGATTATTATACCCACATAATCAAACTTTTACTATATTAAATTACAACAGATCTAAAATCTGTATATTTTCTATAGATAATCAATTTTTTATCCACTTTTGTCTCTGCGGGTAGTATATGTATTAAATTTGAGAACTATTATTTGAGTTTCAGTCAATCCTACTGCTACTAAGACAGTTTTTAGTAAATCATTACTCTGCCAATTAGCACTATCAAAAGTTCAACTTCACCTTTCTTTTGCCAAAATTTTTGGCGTTTGAATTAAATTAAAACTAATGTGCGAAAAATAACAAAAAGCGATCCAGCTATTGAAATTGAACCTACAAACTATTGTAATATATTACCCCGAAGCCTTCCAAAAGTCTCCAAAACGGCAGTTTCGGTCCACATTTTGTTTCGAAAATGAACTTGGACATACATTTTGTAGCAAAACATTTTCTTTTTCTATTTCTAAGAAGTGACAAAAAATCAATTATATCAAATTAAGAAAGTCTGGCTCGCGAAAATCCACTTTCCGCTCTTTAAAGTTACCGTCATACAAAATTATCATTTTTTGTTATAGAAAACAAGATGAAATTAGACAGAAGTTTTTTTTGTTGTTCCGACCGGTCACCAAATAATTGGTAAAAAACTATGGCAATAATTATTGCGCAATAATTTTTGCGAAACTATGGCAATAATTATTGCGCAAAACCATGTATTTATTGGCAAAATCGGATACCTACACGAGCAGTTGAAGGGCATCGAATTTAGAATTATAAAAAAACCTTTAGTGATGATTCGGATCATAAATACATTCTTCAAACAAGGGTAGCTACTTGCTGTACAAGTAGCACAAAATGTTCCGACCATATTCATAAAAAAAAACAGTTGTTTTCAATTACTTTTCTTCAAATTAGTGTCGTTTTTAATGAGTACGATTGCAAACTATACGATTGCGTTAAAAATTGGTGATTTAGGCTCGATCGACAAAATTTATCTCTAAAAGGAATACGAACTTTTTTTGGCCGAACACGTTAAAAGAAACAACCAAAAAAAATATTTTTTTTTATAGTAAAATCAAATTATTTCTAAAAGTCTTAAAAAACGGTAAGTTTCCATATAACGAGCATTACTCGATCGCGTTACTTAATCGCGTTACTCGCTTGAAACTACACTATATCTAAAAAAAATTTCAAGCCAAATTTTATCGAGAGTTTTAATATATGATTTTTTAAATTTTCTTTAAAAATAAGACTGAAAATTTTTTAATATGATATGTCTTTTGACACTATCCAATGATTATTAGTAGCACCTGATTTTGCGTGGAAATTTAAAAAAAGTTAATTCCTATCTTTAATAGTCATTTCTAAGAGTCATTGTTAGTGCGTTGCGGGACTAGAAAACTATTCACACTAGAAAACTATTCAAAAATTTGGAAAATTATTCACACTTGGCAACATTTGTCCTGAAAAACAAAAAATACAAAAAAATTATTTAAAATTTTTTTTTTTGTACAACCAATTTTAAACTAAAAAAAACTTTTATAGCCAAAGAACCAAATGAAACTTCCAAAATTAGTTTTTTTTTGTAGTAAAATCAAGTTGATTCAATACAAAAACTCAAAAAAAATCAGAAAACGATTGATACTCGGTTACTTAACTTCTTTCGACACATTCTGATAACTTTTTGTGATACCTGATTCGGCGTGGAAAAAATGAATTCGAAACTCCCCAATTTCAACAACAAAAATGGCCAGTTACTGTGCAAGCATGTTCCAATCAAGTTAATTTGAGAAAAGAATTTAAGAAGATTTTTGAATTTATAAAAGAAATTTAAACCGAAAGAAAAATTAATTTTTTTGCAATTCAGCTTCTCAGCACGAGGTTACCTTCTCAGCAAAATTTGACTAGTTTGTTCCGAAATACAAAAAGTGTCGAACTAGTGTTTCTCTACACTGGTACAACTCTTTTATAATTTGTACTTAGAACGCAAATAGCGAGCAACAGGGCTTTAAATGATACCAGACTTGACTTGAAAAAGTCAAAATTGTCTGGATTTAGCAAAAAAAGTTTAAAAAAAACTATCCTAAACTATATTTGCTTTACACTCTTAGAGAAAGATCCCAAAAATATCTCATTCTCGTCAAAAGTTAATCTAAATTTTTAATTTTTGGGACTTATTCAACAGGTTAAATTACCCACCACAAAGCTCCTAGCCTAATTCTATCGCTCATTTTGCAAATTTTAAGATATGGTTGTTTATTTTCTGAGAGATCATTTTGTTTATTTTTTTATTTTACTCTTTTATCAATTCCATGGCCAAAATGACATAATGATCCCAGAACTCTCCGATCACATTTATGGAAAGAACTTTGAAACTGTATTTTTGTTTTTCAAACAAAAGCCTATTTCAAACTAAAGCTGAGTGTGAAGGGGACCTGAAAAATTCTTTAAACGTTGGCATTGATCCTTATTGAGTGTACACTTGTCTTTCTAAAAATTCTTACACAAAACCTAAACTTTATATATTTTGTCAATATTAAAATTTCCAACAGATTTTTTTTCTTTAACGTTAGAAGCACTGCAAAAAACTTCAATCGCTGGGTTTTTATCATTTTTTCTTATGTTTGTTTTCATAGCTTAAATAACCATTTCTGATAACTAATTATACTCCCTCGCTTTACTCGCGCAAAAATTATACTGATCAGTGAAAGCTTCGAATCAGTTTTTCTTGACACTAAAACGTTTTTTGCCCCTCAAAAAGTCACTCAAGAATTTATTTTTTCAAGAAAATTCACTGGCTTGGATTATTTTGGGCTACTAAGACAGCAACAGGTAAATATTGAAATTTTCCATCTCAACTTTTACTTGTTGAGTTTTCCTGCTATTTTAATCAAAATAACAATCGTGAAAAATATTTGCAATATAGATTCAATTCATTGTAAAATTTACAATGAGAACGCCGTGGAATAATTTGCAGCATTTTTTCAGGCGCCTCTGATGCTGCTAGGACTGTATTGGTTTTTAATATCGAAAAATAATCAAAAAACAATCAAAAAAAATAACTTAGTGAAGAAAAAAAATTAGACCAAAATAGCGGAACAAATTCAGCATTATACCTACTCTCGACGGCAAAAATTTTTGTTAAACCAGTTGATAAACTCCTAGAATAAAGTTGTCCAAAAACTCACGGTTGAAGATTTTTAATTAAAATTCTGTGCATCTCTGATTCCAGGTCACAAAATCTGGGTGGTATTTTTGAACAAAATTTAAAATTTTTTTAATTCTAACTTTTATCTGAGTTTTTTTATTATCATTTGAATGCACCGTATCTGAGCGGCTTTACTCAAAATTGAAAATTGTATTCAAATTTTTCTCTTCTGCAATTTCTTGAACGGCGATCGTTATGCACTCTTTTTTCAACACCTTACATAGTAACTTAAACAGTTATTAGATATGTAATTCCTTTACCTAGTATGTTTGCGTTAGTCTTCGTTATTTTTTCTATGCTCTCCTTTTCTCTCCTAAAACAAATAGTTTTCAAAATTCGTTTGAATTTAGACTCAATTGATGCTAAATTAGTTTTGTCTGTTGACGCATAAGCCAAAACCCAGTACTGAAAAAAGAGTTCCTCATAAGCGTTATATGTTTTCATTAGTTGATCTTCACTTAAAATTTTTCTGAACCTGTAATACATACCACAAAACCTCGACAAATTATTTTTCAGTTTTTGCATCATGATCTATAGAGGAAAGCTAAAAGTCAATTTGAACAACTAACAAACGGAACGTTTGGTTTTCTTCGATAGTTATTCCATTCATTTTTAAATCTAATTTTCCACCGCTCTTCTTAGATAGTATAATTGTTTTTGTTTTATCTTCAATTAAGGTCAGTTTGTTTTTTTCTAACCAATATGCTGTTTTTCCTAACGCTTTGTAGTGTCTACGATTAACACACTGTTTCTAGCTGTTAATTTTTCGTCTGCATATAAAATTATATTTCTTACCTTTTTTCATCTAGCTCAATACCATTTATATAAATGATGAAAAGAAGAGGACCAGTTATGGATCCGCGTAGTACTTCAAAGTTCCCATTTTGATTTTGAAATCGTTTTGTTGTCGATTTTTAACTAGGATCTCAGAAGGTCCAAAGTAGGTTCCCAAAAACCATATGTGTAATATTTTTTAGTAAATGAGGTCAACTGTCAACGGTATCAAACGGTTTTTTAACG